TATATATATATATATATATATATATATATATATATATGTGTGTGTGTGTGTGTGTGTGTGTGTGTGTGTGTGTGTGTTAAAAGTATTAATAATAATAATTCTCCACAGGGTAATTTAATTAAACATTTATCAGTACATGACCCAAGTGCAACAGATGCTGAGAGGGCAGAAGCTATGCTGATTGGCCAACCCAATGAATTTGGTGAGGATTATGATGTAGAGTAGAGTTACTCTGAAAGTGAAGAAAATGTAATAAAGTCGGTCCCAGTTCAGGGTGAAGGAGCAGTCCAAGAAGGGAAGCAGGAAAGACCACAGGTTTGCCATAGTTACTTCTAACAAAATTTGTGTAATTCTGTCCTTTGGCCTTTTCTTAGCATAGCTGAATTAAACATATTCAGTTTTGACCAAGAAGATACAGGTGAGATCGACATAAAATGGACTTTGTGATACAAGGATACATTACTTTGTTATGGATCCACCTAGGCTACTTATCTAAATGACTAATGTGAAACCTTTAGTTATTTGGTCAAAAAATGAATATACTTTTGACAACTTTGTCACAGAAATATCAGGAAAAGCTTTATATGGTTTCTATACTTATCAGTTTAAAAGATATAATAGTAATCTGTCAGACAATGAAGCAATAGCATAAATAATTTAGTTCTTTTAAATCTGGACAAAGATAATGGAGTTGTCATTCTCAATAAACAAGACTACCTAGGTAAAGTTTAAATTTTTTGATAAAGATTCCACTTAAGAAAGGGAAAATAAACTTCAAAACTCCTATTAAAACTAAAAAAAAAAAGAATGTTATTTCTCATCACATATATTAGTGGTTCTCAACGTGGGGCATATTGCTCCCCAGGAGGCCACGCCATATTTCTAAGGGACCATATGTGAATGATGGAAAATTAGGGAGCCACAGTAAATTCTAAGTGGACCACCGAAACTTCACTGCCAAATAAAATATTTAAAATTTAAAATTGAATCAAAGGTTCCCTTCTCCCCATATCCCCCACAGGTCAGAAGTCAAGTTACCAGATGCAACTAGTACTCGAGTAACAATCAAAATTCCAGATTGGGTGGTAGATCCATTTGGGGTGAATGCGGTTGATATTGACATCAGCATCACATTTGTCTCATCAAATTGCAGAGTGATATATTAGCCCAAGCTAGATTCAAATGTGACAAACATTATTTCTGGATTAGTAGTGAAATAGCTAATAAGTTTCCACAGCTCTGGGAGAAGGCAAAGTTGTATTTTATTGCTTTTCCCACATCTTATCTGGTTGAATTTGGTTTTAATCGGGTGACTTATTTGCTATTAAAAATACATAACCGCCTTGATGTTATGAAGGGAGGTGATCTTTGCTTATCACTGACCACACTGCAGCTAGACATTCAAAAACTTTCAAG